TGCCGCTTAAAATTTGTTTCGATGAGCAAAGCTAATGTCCCTTTGACCCCCCCCCCCCCCCCCCCCCTCCCCTCCCTCCGATCCCTCTCTGATGAGAGCGTGCCTTCGGTGAGGCTCTCGCGGACAGCAAGGTCTCTGGAATTCGCTCATCAATCTCCATCGATCTCTTTATACTTTCACAATCAGCTCTCCGCTCTTATATATATATATATATATATATATATATATATATATATATATATATATATATATATATATATATATATATATATATATAGTTCAGGCAGCTGCCCAAAGGTTAGCTGCCTGAACCTAAACGTATTCATCTTCTTAGTTCTCCAAAATTTGCAGGTTTCTCAGTCTCTAAACCTTTTCAATTTATTTTGCTTGTATCCTTTTTTGAGTCGGCCCCTGTAATAGGAAACTAAATCATGCGTTCCGCGCGAACCATATATCAGCCGGCATTTCAGAGAACAATATAGAAGCGTTAATATAACGTGCAGCCTGACCAACCGGTGTGCCAGTTGATCCGGCAAGTCAGCCAAGCTTTGCCTGCATTATAGTCGCTTACGGGCTAAGAACCAAGTGGATTTTCCGTCTAGTGCGCGAGCTCTCTGCCTTTGTTACCACTTATCACTTTGTTATCACTCGCTCGTTGCACGTATACTCCAGTAAGGGCAACGAACCCGTACTGGAGGCGGAGCATATTCTGGGTTTTTAATGCTCCAGTCCCACGGCGGTCATCTTGGATGGGAACAAAATGTTTTTATTTTTTAGAATGAATACAAACACGCACACTCAAAAGTAGTTTGCTAACATAATCCTTGTGTTCTTGGAGAATCTTGGGCAGGCTATTAAAGCTATGTAGGTTAATCAGTTGACTAGAAGCAACAAATAAATTTTGCCACGGGATTCTCACTCTTCTCCTCCAATATTAAAATTTGAAAGGTGATAGTTTTGCACCACGTGCTCAGTATTGTAATAAAGGAGTGGAGGAGAGCTTCCGAAACCTTTTGTGTTCAAGTATTCTTTTTTTTCTAATAAAAATGTTTTGCGGTACAAATAAGGTTGATTAACGTTGAAGTTTGGGCTAGTTGATATTTTATGGTATTGCAGCGTTGTTGGTATTACAGTTATTATAGTTGGTATTACAGCGCTGTAATTCGTCTATACTTCTCGTTGGCGTCCGTGTATTTGCGTTGTTTTTAATTTTTAGCCATGGTACAAACAACTTATCTTTAAAAAACGATTAAAAAACCATAAAAGCCCTCGTCTACTTAATTAATATATTTCTTAGTACGCGGTGTAAAATTATCACTCACCTAACATTAACATCCAAGGAGAAAAACGTGCAGCACGTCGAGATCTTTATTCGTTCATTATTCAAATAAATATTTAATCTATGAAAATAGATTGCTTAGCCCAATGACACTGGAAATACGCTAGAAAATTTATTTTCAGTATGTATTTTTAAATTTACTTAACTAAATTATAAACTGTTTTGTACCCATTCAGGATGGCCGCCGTAGGACCGGTGTCTGAGCCTGTCGCCGACGGCTAAAGTCGTTTAAAAGTGCATTTTCTCCACCCGCTGAGCGCGGTGCTGCTGTTCATTGTTTTCAGCGTTTACATCCATTAAAAATATAGGTACAATCGGTACATGACACTAGGGTAGTTTTCTTGTGCACACTAAACACCAGTCATCAATACTCTTAATTATAATTAATTATAACCTCACAGCAAGAATAAAATGTTCATAATATTGTCAGGTTCACTTACAACAGGCCCGCTTTTATTGTTTTAATTAATTAACAACTTCTTCAATTCGCAGATTTATCTAAATGGGAAAAGGTGGGTCTAAGCGCTGGTGCAAAACGAAAATGTTAATACTTGTATCAGTAATTTATTTATTTGTTTAGTTTTCTCCCTTTAATTAAGACGTTTTGTTAAAACGCAAGACTGAAATAAAAAGTTGGAGCGTACGTTGCCAGTTTTTCTGCAGACTCTTTTCATTTGCGAGACTGATATAGGAAGTGTCCTATTTTCAGTCTATGCTGCTCCCTTATTCTAGTATCGAGAGCAGGTCTGCCTCAATTTTCGTGCATGTGGCTCGCCGAATGTACCCTGAAAGCAAGAGTCTGAAATTGCGCGGTAAAATTGTATTCTCCGCAATAAAGAGACTAGGAAAGCACGAAGAGAAGTTGAGGAAGAGCTCGGTCCTGGAAGACATTTTCTATTACAGGCTGAGGGGCGAGTAGCAAAAATGAGTGGAAGAAAATGAGTCGAAGGAAAGCATCGATACGCATCTTCTTTGTCTTGAATCCTTTGTTGTTTTGCTCCTACGATGTGAATGCGTTGTTTCGGACAATGGAGAGTCTGCATTGCTTGGAAAAGGGATTTATCCAGGATGTTTGGCCTGGTGAGATGTAGCAAATATCTGGGAGCTCTCGGAGCGGGGGGGGGGGGGGGGGGGGGTATATTCTAGGCTTGTGTATTTTGTATAGGAAAGTATTTGGGGGGGGGGGGGGGGGTGGCTGAAATTACTGAAAAGGGTACAAGGAATACCCGATTCAAAATGACAGTGTTTGCATGTTTAGCTTTGGATGTTTGCCAGCCCGTCACCACCGAGACCAAGGGTTTCTCTCATGTACAAATTGCACGAAATATGCACTATGAAGAACGTGACTTTAAATGTAAAAATTAAAGAAAAAGAAATAACCATGTTGAATTTACCTGAAACTGGGGTAGAGAGGAAACATCAAAACGTAGAAGGGAGAGAAAAAAGACAGAATGACGTTGTACTGTTTTTGTCTGTCCCTTGTTCGTGTTAATGTTTCTTCTCTACCCCAGTCTCAGGCTAATTCAACATGGTTAATATTCACCAGCTCGCCTGCACCCTTATGATGTTTTTCAAGAAATAACCAGTTCAATTTTTGTGTATAAGAAATCGTGGATCCATCCAGGCAGTAAAAGGTACTAAAAAGAGTCGAGAGAAATAAAAGACTAAATGAGAAATTGTTGACTACTCCTTTTTGCTCCACTAATAAGTTGTTCATGTACCCCGCTGCATACCATCTGAGAAAATAGTAAAATACAAAACTGAAAAAAAAAACTGGAGGAATTTTAAAATGCTTATGAAAACATTTTCTGAAAGGGTATATATACACTCAACTACATACTGAAAATGTGAACTTTTTATGCTTTTATCTAGAATTACAGTATAAATTTCACTCCTTGACTGCGCCTGTTTCTTATTGTTTGTCATTTTGAGGCGACCTGGATGACTGTTAGCCATTTTTTCTCCAGATCTTCGTGACCAACCAAACGCACATCTCGTATTGAATGGCTTATTTATACTGTCGTTTTCCTACAGCCTCAAAAATAAGTTGACGTCGTGGGCGTTGGTTTGTTCCCCCTGTCAGCCTATGGCGTTCACACTACTCGAACATCATAGAAGAGACGGTGTCTGCACACATGACGACAGAATCATCCCGCCTCAAGCATATCTTGGAAGCGTGCTTGCATCATATATGCTTCGAAAGCAGACAGATTTTGCATGACCAACGGGACAGTCATACGAGAAAGAGGAGGCCTTGTCAGGCTTCGTGCCTTTGGCCTTAGGCCCCCTCTGTGAACCGAATCCGCTGAAACAAAGGAAGGAAGAAAAAGGAGAAAGACACCTCAGACCGTGTCTGCAAACTGTCTTTTGTAGCAGTGTGACCTCGGCTTTGTGTTTGTCATTGTGTTTTGCCTTCAGGTACATGTTTTCTATCGGGCTATTTTTTGGGTTCTTCATTCTGATTCGAAAGCCCTGTCCTACGAGGCCTTCTACGAAAGTGTCGCAGTATTTGTAAATAAATTCATAACCGCGTAAATATTCGCGCAGGCAGCACGACACTCTCCTTAGTTTGCCCATGAACCAATTACAGACTACGTGCTGCTTATGTATTTATTTTGACGCTACATGACGCTACCTAGGGATCGAACCACCGCTCGTGTACAGGAAATTAAACGCATATCGACCTCACCAAGCGGTTAATAACGTTCATTGTCCCTTAAGCAATGGCTGTCAGTTAAAGGAAGCTGGAATCGAAAATAGCTCTGATCTCCTCGTCGTGTTCCATTTACCTGTCTACGAAAAAAGTACTAAACCTGATTCGGATTTCTTTCTTTCTTTTTTTCCATCCTCGGATTACAAGTTTCGTAGTTTTCGCACTTTCTTGGGACTGAGTGGGTTCCACAGCGTCAATTTCTTACAGCAGCAGCCTAAATATAGTTTCAGATATGCCAATCCTGTGTGAAAGGCGAGACATTGTATTGCGTGTGTCGGAGAGTTGAACGTTGAAACACGAACACCTGCGCGCAAATACTTGCATATTGAGGTCCACGGAGGAAACTGAACCGCGAGGTCAAAGACGATTTTGAAATATATTGTAAAACTTTATTTAAATTGTTTCGTGCATTTTTATTTATTTATTTATTTATTTTAATTTTCTGATCCGCCGGTGAAGTAAGAGGTGGATGGATCCTCGAAGGGGGCAAACGTACAGCCCAGAAACTTGCGTGTGCACTTTCGTTATGGCACGTGCTTTGTGTGCTTTGCGCGCTTTTCCAACACGACCTAGAGTAATCAAAGCCTCGTGCACTAGAATCTTTACGTCGACGTCATCGCAGTAAAATTGAGCGAAGACACAGATTAGACACGAGTGCTGCGAATCAACAAGTCGAAGGACACGCTCGGCACCGATGCTCAAGTCCAGTTGCTGAGTTGGCGCCATCCTACTGTGATGGTGTTTCCCGGACGAAGAGGAGCATGATGGTCGCAGGCATAGGGGGAAAGCTTACAATTTTCCGGGTGCGGGTCTTGATTATTCTAGCTTCGTGTCGGTATACAGCCCAGAATGTCGCGTTTGCACTTCCCGTGCTTTGCGGGCATTGCGCGCTTTTGCAACGTGCTTTGCGTTTTGAGATACCAACGCATGTCACTCTATTGAATGCAGAACGCGTCCCCGGAGGTGGTCAAGGTGTTGGTGGGGAACAAGTGCGACGCCACGCACATTAGGCAGATCGAGAAAGAGCGGGGGGAAAAGGTGCGTTCATTTTTCTCTCCCGTGCACTTATCTCATGCGAGCCTTTTGAGTGTCGCGCTTATTCATGAAAATCTTTTCATTGCCAGAATTTGCACCGTGCAATTTCTTGCACACGGTGTCCAACGAAATATGGGACGATCGAAACACTTTATTATAAGATCTTCATAAATGTTGCTGCTTTTAACAATTTTTACGTAAATTCAACGTAACTTATAATGTTATTGTTGTTTTGAAATCTAATAACAACGAACACGTACGACTAATATGCCCACTACCGTTAAAACACACTCTTGCAATACTACAATCATAAAAACTGCAAGACGAACTGCTGCCAAATGGGGGAACATAAAAACAGACACCGACGCAAGTTAAAAATTATACGGTCTAAATAAAGTGTAGACGGTTCGGTCGGTCCTTGTTTGAATTCGGGGCTGGGGACGAAAATATAACTAAACTAAAAAGAGCAAGAATCTTTTCAGCCTTTGTTGTGTTTTTGGTATGCCATTAGCGAGTGCTACAAGAGGTTATGCATATAAATTGTCAATACAAAAAAAAAAAAAAACGTTTGACGCTCCCTTTTTGCTTTAGCTTATCTATGACCTCCTAAATACCCTTGATAACCAATAGATAACTATAGTCGGTGACAGGTTAAAAGTTCAAGGGGATTCTCTTTCCATCCCCTTCCACTTTAGCAGAGCGAACGCTGGGAAGGAGGTCGCCTCTTCTTCTGCGTACGCTCTGCTAAAGTGGAAAGAAGTGGGAGAAGCTTTCCCTGAACTCTTCAGCGCATTCACACAGTTGCGTTCGAGTGCGACCGCAACCACTTGCGCCTCGTCAAGACTGCTTGCGTCGAACTGTTCCAATGGCGCCCCTTTCTGCGAGCCAGTGGGAAGGCGCTGTGCAGCGCGTCGGATGAAGCGCAACGCTGTCGACACAACTGTGTGAACGAACCTTTGACCTGTCACCGACAATGCGGGATTCTAACGAAGAAAGCGTCGGTCAGAAAGAATACATCACTAACAGCTTAAGAAACAAAGGCCGTGACTACCATTACTATGTTCTTGATTTCGTGATTGGTTCTTCGACGTTTTTATCGACCAACGCCGCAATCTGATTGGCTGTGGAGCGTTAATGAGATACACGGGTCGCCACGCCCTACGTATTTTAAGCTGTCAGTGGCTATATATAGACCAACGTTGATATAGACCAATTCAACCCTCTGACGTCATGCCACTGCGGTGGCGCTGCTATCGTCACTGCGCATGCGCGGATGCTTCACCTCAAGCGAATCTGGTGTGTACGCACTCGGAATGCCCATACCCAGAGCCCCTTCCCATACCCGGTGTGCGGGCAAAGGCAGGTTTGTTTGCGGACAGTGTGTTCGTTGGTCGATAGTTCGGAGGAAAGGCTAATCTGTTTCCTACCCACATCATCGCGCGTGCCTCAACAGCACGTGTCAAAAGGAAAGGTCGACACCGTACGTGTGCATAACCAGAGTCACGATTGTCAAATAAAGCCAGCCGGCTTATCGCGATGACAGAATCAACGCCTCACGCGTTCCGTGCACGATACACGACAGCAACAAACCTGCTTCAAGTACGGCCTTATCATTTCATTCTGCTCACGCTGTTTGTCGACGACATCACTGGACGCGATTAACGCTGTTTCGGGACAGGAAGCACTTTAGCTGTCGGTATCCCCTTTCTGATATCGAACACGGGCTTTCGTTGTCTCCCAACACATTTGTCCTGACGAGAACTTCCTCTAGTGGACACCCACACCTCCTATCCGCCTCGGCGGCTCTGAGCCAGAGTTCGTGCTTGCGAATCCCTCGTTCAGTGATCAAATTCCGGCCGTGAGGCTGATTTTGCCTGCACGTCTGGCGAAGGCCCAATGCTGGCAAGGTATCGTGTAAAGGATGTTTCGATTGCATGTTCAGCGAGTCCAGGCGGCCTAAATAAATCCTAGGTTTTTCGCTCGGGAGTCTCCAGATCATCAGCTTGAAGTCATCAAGCGTCCGCATTTAGAGAGAGAGAGAGAATTCCAGCACACTCAGTAGTACCTAACGCGAATGACACTTTGAATTACCAAATTTTCCCCAGAATGAAAAAAAAAAAAAGGTAAACAAAACGCTACTTTACGCTCGTCGATAGTAAATAAAAGAGGCTCACAATTTCGGTTTCCGAAAAATCTTAAAGTAAGAAGTAAACAAAAAGCAATTTACAACGTTCGTGTTTAGAGAGCGTAAAGTCGGGCTGCCTTTTGAGATATTGCGACACTGGTTCACGCAGCAGACGAGAGATTTAGCGAGTGCTGCACGACTTTTAACCCGGGGTCTTTATTGTGCACAATGTAATAGCAACAGAGTACGAAATAACAAGCAGAAATGTAAAGCACAATCCCCAATCACGGCAGAAAACTTCACGGGAAAGTCGACTTCTTGCATTAACAACAATGGGTGTGATATCTCGAAGTATAAAGTAAAATTTCGTGCCCCTGGCACGAAGGATAAAAAACAAAAACGAACAAAGCACATGGCCCAAAAAAAAATCACGTAGTTAATAATATTTCACCACACGTAACAACGCATACATAGGTAGCACGCTTAAAGGCCACACAGCGCAACGACACGAAGAAAGTAAGAGGAGACTGACAACGCTGTCTGTCAGTCCTCTTTTAGTTCGTCCTTGTTGTTGCGCTGCTTGTACTTTTAAGAACGAACTACCAACTGTAAGCCATCTGAGCGCTGCGTTTACTGTCGAAGTTTAACTTCTCTTTAGCTTGGGTCTGGTCGGCTTCGACCGATGATTGCTCTGATATCGAGGGTCGGTGCGCAGCACTCCGTGTCATTAAACGCTTGTCATCTTCGCACCTGCCCCTGTTCAGATGGCGGAGAGCTTCGACATCCCGTTCTTCGAGTGCAGCTGCAAGCAGAACATCAACATCCAGGAGGCCTTCGTCACCCTCGCCAGGAAGATCCGAGAGCAGAGGGAACAGAGGGTGATCATCTCTCCGCTAGTACCGTATTCCTCTTTTCGTTTTTTTATCCTTGTCTTTCATTTGCATTCCTCGCTCGCCCTTTCTTTCTTTCTTTTAGCGCATACCATGTTTTATCAGCCAAGCTACCCGAGAAAACTGTCAGGAAGAACCGTCACGAAGGATTGTAACGTCAGCGTAACGTCACGTGACACCATATGACGTCGGGTGACGTCATGTAAAGCCACACACATACATAGCATGTGCCCAACTCTCTCCGGTTTTTGCCAGCATAATCAAATTATATGATTTTATTTCATGCTTTTTTATGGTACAATAAATGTTGTTTTGCAAGCTTGGGGGAAAATGCATACGCCACAAGCTAAGGTCCGTCCGCTGCAACTAATGCGTCTGGTGTTGTTATTTTACTTTTTTTTATGTCAACCGTTAGGCAGTGTAGGTAGACTAGAACCAGAAATAATCAGAAAATCAGATAGAATCAGACGGGGGATCGAATAATGAAAGAGAGAATCATAGAGTGAACCATAAAATCAGAGGGAACAAAACCAGAATAAAATCAAAATAGAATCAGAATGAGCGAATAAAATAGAATCAGAACAGGTAAGGACGAAACATGAGTTCGCTATTCAACGTTTTGTGATATCAACTTCTGACAACTTTTTTATGTTGTTTTTATTTTTGGTCTAACTATTCTTGAAACACATGGGCAGACAAGTAAGCCATTTAAGTTCATACTACGTCACGCACAAAACAGAAATTTCGTTTCATCTGTGTCAGTCCAAGAAACATATTTACTCGTTTCTTGTGCCCCGCTGTTTGCTTTTTTCCACGCGAAACGTTCTTTGGCTCGGTGTTCGGCATTTTGTAAAACCCAAAAGTAAAGCATAGATAAAAGCGTGGCCGCGAGGCCCGACATTGATTGGTTGACGAGTGGGAGAGGAGGAGTGAGGTTCTCGACGCGAATTGGTTAACGGGGAGGTCATGTGACCAGAGGTGGAGTGACGAGAAGAGGAAGGCGAAAAGGTGAGGTGGGAGAGGAGGACGGGATTAGAAGATTCTGGAAGATCAGCAGGTTGATAATTTCAAGTGCACATATTCCACGCGTTTATTTGTCTGATGAAGAGCGCTGTGAACGTAGGCGTCTGACTGAACAGGCTAGACGTGCTGCTGGACGATGATATAAACGTTTGGCATGCTGGGACGTTCCACATATGCCACACAATTGCCTAGTGATTTGCCACTAATTGGTTTACGCATTGTATTGTCAATTTTACGCGAGAATAAACTTCTAAACGTCGATGTAAAGTTGAAAAAATAAACGATGATTTAAGTCGAATCGTGAGACAAGATAAACGCCAGAAACCAAAAATTGTAAATAGAGCGTGTCGTTCTACTTAGTTGCGCCATTTCGAGTTTCAAACTCCGATGAAAAAGAAACATTACTTCATGTTAGAAATTGCAACAAAGCATGCCTCGCATAATCAAAATTGTCACGCGAGCTGGTTTATATGCATTCGACGTATGGGAAGGGAAGTGCTCGAAAAGCGAAGTATATCCAAGGAAGGCATGTTTCGTTCTGAGCGTTCGTTTGCGTTCGTCCTTGCTTTTCAGGTGTTGCTGTCTTACCAAGTTTTTTCGTCGGTTTACGTCGCTTCCAGACGCTGGCGCAGGCTGAGGTTTTTCTTGGCGTTAAAAATTCCCCCAGCTCCCTTGTTTTATAATACGGAATAGACTTTTCTCAAAAGTCCGCGCAACGAACGTCCATTTCTCGCGTGTCCTCGGTCCGAGGTTTTTCTTGACGTTGAAAATTCCCCCAGCTCTTCTGGTTTAATGCGGAATATAACCTTTTCAAAAGTCAGCGTTAGCGCCTGTCTGGCATAGCTTGATCACATGTACTAGCATGTGTTGGACATGAGCGCTGCGTCAGCGATCGGCGAGGACTGGGATCCAATCACGCGCTTCATGTCCAAGCAATGGCGACCGCCGATGCTGCTAGATGGCCTTTTGAAAAGGATCTATTGCATTCTTATTTACTGAAGCTGACATTGACTCAGCCTTGAAAAGAGAGTTGGCCGACTGACAAACACCCCTGCCGAGAGCTTGCCGACCACGCAATGCAACTGTAAACAAAAGGAGAAAAAAAAAAAGGAAAGACCTTTACAAATCTTTGTAACGCCAAATTAGAGCGCAGCTCTTGAGGAGGAGGAGGAGGAGGGGAGGGGAGGGTATGCCCGTGTGACGTCACGCGGTTACGCCGACGACGATGGCGATGTCGCTCAACCCGGAAACGGGCGTCTAAAAACTGCGCTATGAAAAAAAAAAAAAAAAAAAGAAACAACAGAAGAGGCAGGAGAGAAAACTTCGAGACCGTTCGAAAATATTATGCCAGCTGTGAAAGTTCTAAAAAGAAGAACGAAAAGAAGAAAAAAATATTCCGAGGACACCTAAGCACTTTTAACGAGTTGTGAATGCGAAAGCATGAATGTCGTTCTTCACGGCATTCATGGAACTATACCGCGTACCAGCCGATTGGAGGTTATCCATCAATTCGCTGCTAAAATTAGAAGCTTTTCTTTATAAAACAGGGGAATTTAGGTGCCATTTGGAGCGGCTTCAAAAGCTGATAACCATAATAGAAAAACCCAGGAACAAGGACCTAAAAAGGACAAAAACAGCACCGTCTCAGACGGTGTTGTTCTTGTCCTTTTTAGCTCCTTGTCTCTGGGTTTTTCTACTATCATTCGTCGCCAGCTCGCCCGCGTTTTTACTCTAATTTTTCTAAAAGCTGATAGCGCCGGTTTGCTCCATGGGACACTTAATGCTTTCGCCTTAAAAACAGTACAAAGGTATAGAACGCGGTGACGCTAGACACGGCGTCGTATGGCTAAAAGTCTGAAACTGGAGTTAGGGGTTGTGCGTTCTTCTTAAAATGCAGTTCTGCATATGAGGGTTTGACCAATAGATCGAAATATTACTGATATATACATATATTGTTTTATATAAATCGGTTTATAGTAAGTTCGAGCGCAGCCAATGCTATATACGAGTCGACGAGACCAATCAAGTTATGTCCAAAGCGCAACGCGTTCGTCGTTTTCTAGACATTTGCTAACGCCGGCGAAGCCAATCCGCGTCAGTACATGCTCCCTGACCTGGCGCTTTTCGCCTGTGCGTCTGTGTTGGTAGCACGTCTTCTCGCCGTTGGCTGCGCTCGGACTCGTGGTGAAACGAAATAGGGTGTTCCTTCAATGTTCTGTGATGATGGTGGCACAAGAGGCCCTGCGCCTTAAACGAAACCTCGTTTCTTTTTTTTTCTTTTTTTTTCTTTTCTTTTTTTTATTCAGAAAAAGCACACCCACAGAAAAAAGGAAATAAGTGCATGAGCACAGTGATATTGCACTTTTGGCGCTGTTCGATTGGCTCGTAAGCTCCGAGCGTTGGCCACTCTTCGACATTCGCTATCTTATAGAATGACTTGCACTTTCCACGATGTCAGTTGTTCCGCCATTGTGCAGGGGTTCCGACCTTCGAATAATCGGCACGCGATTTCTGAAAGTGGTATTTTACTTCGTGTCCTCTTCGTTTGCGCGCTGCGTTCAATTTTTGCGAAACAATTGTTTTGTTGTGGTATCTCAATGCAATGAGTGCTAGATTGCAAATACGAATTTTTGTGAACTCGCCCACTAGACAAATAAAAAAATAACTTACTCTTAATTCGTTTTACGTTGCGTAAGCAATCTTATGAGGAATGACACGGCAAGTATGCCAAAGAAACAAAATAGGGGCTTTTGAAGTCACAATTTTGATCGTGCTAGTTCGCTAGCTTGTTGTGAGATTTCCCACAACGGATTCGAACAAACTTGGCGACCTGTTCAGTAAGTTGACACAATTTTCTAACCGCGCTCTGCGTGTTCGATAATGTAAAGCCGAAAAAAAGAAAAACAGTAGGTTAGCCAGATCATTGGAGTTTTTCTTTCACTTATAGGACTCTTCAGTTGATGTTGCAACGTAAACGTCCCTTGACATTTAAGTTTTTTATTTTTTATTTTAATTTTAGAATGTATCAACTAACACTCAAAAAAGACGACTCACGCCGACATTCTTCTCATTCCAGTTCGACTCTCGCGACGAGATTTCGCTCGGTTATTTCTCTGCTCGTCATCTGAGATGGGCGCGGTCCGCCAGGAAGGTACGAGAAAACCTTGTTTCCATTCAAACGCGATCGGCCTCGGTGGCTCCACCAAACACCACGTGAGAAACAAGATGATCACTTAATCCCAGCTCAACGTCGCAATCGCTCTGAAGTACGAAATCCGAGCTAAGGGACGGCAAGTAAAACCCGGCGTATAATCCTCGAACAATCGCGCCGCTCCCTCGTATACCAATGATTTGGAGCGACGAGAGATTAGCGGGGAGCGAGCGGCGAGGAATCACAAGCGCGCCGAGTTGGCGATGGAGGCCGCAGCGGCAAAAAAACAGGAATTCGTCGTCAAGTCGACCTCACCGCGGGGAAAAAGGAACAGCCCGAATTCCTCCGGCAGACAGATTAAGTGCGGACAAAAGAAAGGAGCCGGAGGCCTGTAGGGTCTCGAAGTGGAAGGTCGTGTTTCTGATTGGGCTGGGACGACATGCCGCAATCACGCCAGAATCACCCCCGTAATCGTTCTACCACAGACTGCGTCTTGTTTGATGTCTGCCCTTAGTGAGCTTTGCCACCGGAGAATGTTGTCGAGGTATTGTGTTGTTGGCGGTTGCTGTTTCTCTTTCTCTAGATCTTGGTTGCGGCCGGATTTTGCCGTTTTGACAGACGACGGTAGTACGTCAATGTAGTGACGAGAAGTTCGCTTATTTCTGCTTGGCATTGCGTTATGGTCTCTTTGGTTTTACTCAGATTTTGTCTCAGAATTCGCCTCGGGTATAATGTCCGATGCGCGGACTCCCGCCAGGAGCAAGCATAAAATGGAGTATTCACATTATGTGTGTATTGGGACTCGTGTGAGGCACCCACTCCATCGATCAGT